AGATTCGGAGTGTGCTTTATGCCGCACTTCCTGTGATTGTTCAGGGACGAAAATGGATGCTATTATATAGGTTCTATGTGCATGTCTCATGTTACTTGTGCTTTTTATCGGGATTTCATTTATGTGTTCGTTTATTAATTCTCTCTTTCTCTCTCTCAGTACTTGGAGGCATGGTATATCTCTTTCAACATTGTACAGAAGAAGTATGATTTGGCCTGGTCTCAGTTTGCTGGTACTCTCTCTCTTTCTCTCTCTCCCTCTCTCTCTCTCATGATAAGTACAGAATGAAGTGACATTTGATATTATTGATCTGATGATTTTTGAATGTCTTTGTTGAGAATTAGCAGAAATTCTTGAAATTAACTGCTTCAACTTTATAAAGATAAAGCTGGGAACAAATATATTTTTAAGTTTCGATTTTTTTTTCATGTTATTTTCCAGGTTGTTGGGGATCGTAATGGAGCAATATTTGGCGGCTTAGTGGAGGCACCCTTGAGACCATCAAGCAAGAGAAGGTATCAGGTAATAAATAATACAGATTTTTAACTTCTTACTATAGAGGATGAAATAAGGTTCTTTTACCTGCTCCCCCCAACTTAAAAAGGCTAATAATTTTGACAGGGATCTAATAATTCGTTCGTCTTCTCGAACAACTCTGGGCATCCTCTTATATTTCGTCCTACAGGTATATAAGCACTTTTTTTTTTTTTCCTGCCGATTTACTTGTGCTTGTTTGACTTTACTGTTGTTTACTTTTACATTTACGCTGACAATCTACCTCAACCCATAAAACAGGCGTGAATCGATATTTTACCTTGTGCTCTACCGAGTATTTGGCCATGGGCGGTGGTGGTCATTTTGCCCTCTATTTGGATGGAGATTTGTAGGCTATTCTTTCCTTTCCACTTAATGATTGCTTTAATTTTTTTTGTTATTATTATTATGTACTGACATTAACCTATTTTTCCCACTTGAAGATTGAGCGGATCAAGTTCGTTGTCAGAAACCTATGGAAATCCTTGTTTGGCCGGCTCGGAAGCTTTTGAGGTGAAGGAAGTTGAGGTATAACTTGCTGCTATTTTCTCCCGATTTATTTTGTTATTGTAGTTGCTTTTATCTTGTTGTCAATAGCACGATATGCTATAAATTGCGTAGTATTTTCACCCGATTTGTGCAGTTATGGGGTTTCGTATATGCTTCAAAGTACGAAGAAATGATAGCTTTATCTCGAGTGGAAACTCCAGGAATATGCCACTGGTAAATTAAGCTTTTGACTGTGTTGTAAGCTGAGGAAGATCGCCTTATCTTCGATCATCATTTGTAAAAAAAAAATGAAAACACTACTGACTGTATATACCGATGACTCCTTTTGCACTCCTTTTGCACGATTCACTGTAAATAAAAAACTATTTAAGGGATTTTTGCCTGTTTAGGGACTCTCATGCTCCTATCAAGTGTTGTGAGTTGTGAATTTCAGCAGCTCTAATTGGAAATAGTTTTATTTGAAATTTTGTATGTTTAAATTGAAGGCCATTATGACATTGTTGAATAATTTTGTATAAATATAACCTGAGTCTTAAATGTAGTAATATTTTTTGGTATAAGCTAATGACAGTCTTGTACAGAAATTCATGATACTCATATAATCATTCCATTTGAAGTCATATTTCCCTTCCAAAAAGAAATTAATTGTGACACTATATGTAACTGTAAATGTAGTCAAAGAAACCAACCAAATATCCCCCAAATGGAAAATATTCTATATATCAACAGACATGCCAATAAATACAACTCTGAAAAATCAAGAAACAGGTTCAGTTTCAAGTTAGTGTTCTCAATATGATTGATTCTCATTCGGTTAAAATCGACCGCGTAAGGTTGAAACCCGACATTAATAGTCACAGTCGTGAATTTCGAGAACATAATACGTCTTTTCTTTTTTGTTTCTTTTTTCTTTTTGGTTGAAGACGTTAAGAATAAGTGGCGTGTATTCTATTGCCTTTGGCTACGAAGGAACTCTTTCATCTGCGAGAAAATCTCTGCTTTCACCACAATGCGCATTTTCTTTGAATTCTCCCATAACAAGCCACCATACTCCCGAGCAAAGTTACAGGCAGCCTCAAAAACATCCTATGCAAGAAAAATATAGAACAAGGTTTTTTGTATGAAGTAACAAATCATTTTCAGTCAAAAGGAGATATAATCATGTTTTATGCAATGATACAAACCCGAGATGGAAACTCGTCATAGTAATGAGCGGGAGTAATCTCCACTCTGTTCAAATCTGCTTCCCACAATCTAATCTGGTCGTTCGACATAGTTCAAATGAGAAAAGAAAAAAAAATGAAATGTTTTACTTTAATTTTCTAAGTAACTCGACATAACAAAAACATTTTTTTATATTGTGTGTATAACTTGAAGTCTTGAACTACTTTTGAGAATTGGAAGAGGAGAGTTGAAGGAAAATATAAAATAAAAACCTGATCCGTAACATTTTCAGGTACAGAAGGTGTTCTCTCGGCCACTCGAGGATGAGCATTCTGCTGAAGAAAAGACACTATCTGCATTCACATAGAGAAAAGGAGAATATAATGGCAATCAAGAAGTCAACAAATAAAAAATAATACAGCTTAAGGAAGTAACTTAATAGAAAGGGGGTACTAGCCTGATCGGCAGTAATGCCGTTTAGTAATGCTTTATACAAGCTCTCTTTAGTAATTGCACCAACAATGAGATTCGGAAGTTGGTACTCGATCCTGAAATTTCAGTGTGTGTATGGTAAAAAATGAAATTTTATAAGAATTGGGGTATGTAGAAAGGTAAAAAAAAAATGCATATCTTGACAAATTTGAAATAGGATATAAATTTATTGGTAAAGCAGAAAATTGAAGGGATTCATACTTTGAAAAGAGGCGCAAGATCTCACAGTGCAATTTAGACGTGGAATATGCATACATTCGGAAATTAGTTTCCACGACCACAAATCCCTGATGAAAAGAATCAATCAGAATTAAAATCTACTTCCCACCAGAATTTAAAAAAAAAAAAATCTTTGTAAATAAAATCCGACCAACTCTTACAGTAACATACCTGTTTTCTCGATGATGTATCGGCTAAACTAATAGATAAATTGGTGGCTAATTTAGTAGGAATGAACCAACTCTCTTTCCTGCCCTGTGCAATAAATAAAGATGCTTAATGTGAGATGAAGACCGAGGAGAAATTAAGAGAATAAGTGATAAAGCGGAAGATTAGAACCTGCTGAAGCTTGACCAATCCCAAGTCAGCAAGATCCTTTATTATACTCCTCTGAATATCATTTAAAGTGTTCAAGTTATATGCCTACACAAGAAACAAATTGTTCAGAGCCATGATAAAGTTGAACCTCGTTCATTTTTTTTTTAATTTATTCGGGCCAGATTGTCAGAACTGATCATTCTTAAAGAAAAAGGAAAAAAAAAAACAGAAAAAACCTAGGAATCACAGAATTGCATAGCATGTTCACTATCAAATATTGGATCACTTAAAACAGAGATATAAATATTAATAATACTAGCCAGTAGCATAGATGACCTCGAACTAATTACCTTGCCCGTAACATGAAAGCTGAGCTCCAGCAGAAATGATATAAGGTCAGCCGTATCTACACCATGATCCTACAAACGCAATGACATTTCCAAAAGATCTTTATTCAAGATTTTTTTTTTTTGTTGGGCATAATGTTCTACGCATGAAAACTAATTTAGTAAAAGCAAACAAACATGAATGTCTATGCTAGATGTCCAGAGAGACTAGGGAGACAGCACTTATCCTGCCTGCTATCATTTGTTTAGTTAGAATATTAAAGGCTAGTGTAGATATTACAGTTCGTGCATGGTTAAAATAGGGAGAATAGCAAAAAAAAAAAAAAAAAAGTTACAGTCTCGAGTATAGTTATTTTATTTTCATCTGCTCAGTTGAATTTAATAGGTTTGAGTAATTCCCACTAACTAATCAAGCTCATTAAGCAGGATCTTATTAGTCATAATAGGTTTGGTTCATAAAATGAGTGAGGTATACTGTGGGATCAAACAGTCAAATTCATAATATCTTCCAACGATGAAATTCGGGATCTCATTGAAAATTCAATTGACAGAGGAAAAACCGTCATGTCTTCCCATTGCAAATCTCTTTCCAAGGCCACACACATAAGAACCTAGAAGCGTAAGCACGGGAATAATTTCATATCATATTTCCTTGGGTTTCTTGATTTTGTTGTAAACTTCATATTACCTTTCAGTGCGAAATATGATATAATGACCAAGCTTTTGAAAAGTATATAAATAAAAAATAGAAATTGTCATAACCTATGAAAGCTTCACGCTAAAATCTTCTGATTCTATTTCATAACTTTTGTAGAAGATAAGGTTTAATCAGCTTTGATTTGAGATATTATGAGATGAAAAAAAAAAAAAAGAAAATTGAATCTGAGCATACAATACCTCACAGTTACTTATATATTCTCTGACTATGTACCAAAGCTGTGCATTCGTATCCATCAACTGTACAAAGAATTTGTTAGCAATTAGCAATAGCTTCAAGCAATCTGCAGGAACTAGGACATTTTTTTCTTCTTTTTGTGATTATGAGAATTTTTTTATTAATATTAAGAACATGAAATAAGTTATTTAACTCATACCAGAAACTGGAAGCCACTTGCTGTCAATTTCGGAGGTTCTCTATCATCTCTGCAAGTCAACGCCAATTTTTTCAAAAAAATGACATAAAAATACAGAAAGCCACAAGATTATCGGGTGCGGAAAATACTTCTGACTCAGAAGACCACGCTGGAATATCTTCATCATGGAAGAACTTATGTTTGTTGACGTTTCGGATTCAGCGGAGTTTATAAGGTGCAGCAAGAAAGACTGATTTCAACAATTTTTGCATGTAAAAAAGAGCCGACAATTTATATAAGGAAAAATTGCAAAGTAATAAGACATTATATCGATTTATATGCTAACATAACTATAAAAAATAATTAAAAAAAAAATTTGATAATGCAAATAACAATGACTAATGGTAAATCATCACAAAATTTACTGAACATTCATGACAACAGAGGGACGATTAAAGCGTAAATAACAATCCTAACCTCCCATTGCTTAAGAGCGTAGGCATCTAAATCTTCCAAGCTAGGAAGCCTCACAGTGATGTTCGAAGGCATTGGCTCTCTTGGTAAAACTCCACTACAAATTTCAAGTTTTTGTCACAGAAAATATAATGAGTAGCTTATAGTAAAAATGGAAAAATAAGACAAGATTTGTGAACCTTAATCTCACCCATGCACAATGTGTTTCTGTAGATTACGCTGAAATGTTGGAGTCATTAAGTAAGTAGCTTCTTTCTTCCTGTCACCAAATCAAAATAAGAAACTTAGAATACGAGTATATGTGTATGCAAGATGAAACTCCAGCGAGTCGAATACTATGAGTTACATAGACGAGAGTGGGAAAGAAAAAGAAAACGGAAAAAGAAAAAGAACAGCTTTAAAAATACATGCACCACAGAGAACAGAGATCAGAAATGACTAAATTTTACAATCTTGGAAAGAAAGTTGCAGACAGAGCTGGATATGTGGTTTGAGTTGCTCTATGAAAAGGGAATTCACAATATTCAGAAGGAAAGATAACCATATGACCTTGAACGACTGTTCCTCAATGTACGAGAGTTTCAGACAGAAATGAGTAAATATGGAGATGAAAAAAATAGCCTGTTTGAGTAAATCAACTACAAGGAAACCATTCATGTACTTCAAAAAGTAACTAAACTTGTAATCAACTACACCTCCGTTCAATGATACAAGGTGACCATTCATGATACAAATACTTAATAGGAAGAACAAACAAAAAAGGTAGAAACTTATTTTGGTCAGGAAGATCTAATTTGGTTCTCCCAACAAACAGATTATGTATGACTAAGAAGCATCTCAACTATCATTCCACACAGAGTACCATTTATGTAAGTGTCTCATGACCAGATTCCAGTTAATTGCATAATCATATCTAGTGAAACTATAGTGAACCATAGAAAATGGCTGTTAAAAGATTCAGGAAAAAAGACACGGTTTGACAATGGAACAACACAGCATAGAGAAAATTATAATAAGAAAAGAAGGACAATAAGGATACGGCAAAAATACAGTACCGATCAACAGTTTCAGATATGATCCTAAGCTGAATCAATCTATCTATTGCAACTTTGTGCTTCGAAACTCCATCAGGGAGAACCCATTCTTCTAACGACTTTGCCGGTAACGGGCCATCAAGGTACAACAGCTGAAGCACATATTTCTTTGCCAGTGGAGGCAAAGATCTGAGGAAACGATTAATTGTCAGTAATTCACATTGTATGAAGGCTCATCCTAATATTCATTTTTCAACACATGTTGCTCATGATAGTAAGTAACCTGAGGATGGCTTCACATATGAACGAATTTTCATAAAGCTTGTCGAGCTTCAATGCAGGCAATGAAGCCACCATGTCCATAAAATTCCTCGCCACAATTTTCACTTGCGGCATCTTTATCAGTTATCAAGTATCACCTCTGGTTTCCTAAATTCAACTTATAAATCTGGATCGAGACGAATACTTTCTATGTGAGAGGTAATGGGTTAATTATTCAAGACAATAAGAGGTTGAGAGAGGCGGAGCATACCTAAGTGACCGCGGTCGGCGACGGGGTACACGTAGGAAGGCGGCTGTGCCTCAACTCGGCAATAGGGATCTGAAGAAGATGAAAATTGGGGCAAAATGGTACAACTTAAAAAAGTAAAGGAGAGAAAAGGGGGCGAGGGGAGGAGACGGGAAGCTCGACGGCGGCGGACACGCGGCGATTTCCCGATTGCTGAGACGCGGCCAGCGGGAGAAATTTCGGAGAGGGGTATGACCGTCTTCTTGGAGTAGTCCGATTATTTGAGCCCTGAAATTATCTTCAGATTTACTACGGTTATTTGCAGGCCCGCCGACGGCTGCGGCGAGGAGGGGCGGCAAGGATCGTTCTTGGGGTGGAACTGTAACCAGTGTATTACTGTAGTCACATTGATCCAAGCAAATTTTATAATTTAAGCTTCATATTTTTCATCATATTTTTTACAAATTTTTTAAACATAATACCATAGAATGGAAAAGGGCAAATACGTAAATTAAAACCCAAAGTGGACCAGGCATTTCAATGGAGACCCCGGCCCAAACAAACAAACGATATGAAAAGCCCAGGCCCAACCACAACCCCTCTTCCCAAAGCACACTCCAACCCCGCCATAGCTGAAAGCTCCACACCAACATTATCCAGCCACGCTCTTACAGAAATTCTCTCAAAGGTAAACAAAATGGGAAGCCGATTGGGAAGAAGGGTCGTGAACTTTGCTAACCTACCCATAAAACTCCTCATGCCCTCATCTTTTTCCAACATCACTGAAATCGCCCTCAAAACCATCCCCTCCGCCTCCAAGGTGCGCCGCCGCGAGCTTCAATTTTCCCAAAAAATGTGAATCTTTTTCAGTTTTCCATTTTCCCTTTGATTCATTTTTACTTTTGCCTATTCATTTTGCAGATAGAGATCAAGAGGGTTCTCGAGTCCCTTTACGGATTCGAGGTGGAGAGAGTTCACACCTTAAACATGGAGGGCAAGAAGAAGAAGCGTGGCGGGCTGTTGATCGCGAGGCCCGATTACAAGAAAGCTTACGTGACGCTGAGAAACCCTCTGTCATTAAACCCTGATCTTTTCCCCATCAGGGTCATCGAGGAGGAGAAGAAGAACATGAGCAAGCAGTCGAAATCGAGCATCGTGGAAGATCCAGAGACCGTGAAGAGTTCACACTGGCTCGACGAGAAGAAGGACAGCGAGAGATTCAGGCCCGGCGAACGGCGTAGATTTGGCGAGCGGACAAGGGGCCGTGGGGAGAAGGTTGAATCCAAACCGGTTACGAAGTTCCCTTGGAGCAGCATGACCTCGATCGGGAGGTAACTCTTGCTGTTTGAGTTAAAGTTTTTTTGTTTTTTATTTTTTTTCCTTAAAATGTTCTGCGGATGTTAGAGATGGAAACTAGGTGTTTTGATGCAATGTGGCATCAGGTTATTGTCTTGGTATGTGGAGTTACTTTGATTCGTTTCTGTTGGATATTGTCGATTGAATAGTGTTATGATATTTAGTAACGGTAGTGCGCAGAATGATGCTCCTTTGGTTCTTTTTGGAACTAAAGTATTGGATTTGTTGTTGTCTCTACTTCATAATATATTTGATTTGTGAGTTGAAATGAGATTTTTTCGGTCACTAATGAAGATTTTCCTTATTCTTTTCTTGGCTAATATAACTAATAGTTTTTCATTATGTCTTCTGATATTTCGGGTTTTAGTGTCTGGACATGTGGAGTTACTTTGATTCGTTTCTGTTGGATATTGTCGATCGAATAATGTTATGATATTTAGTGATGGTACTATTGCGAAAAATGATGCTCCTTTGGTTCTTTTTGGAACTAAGTACTGGATTTGTTGTTATCTCCACTTCATAATTATAGTTGATGTGTGAGTTGAATGGGATCTTTTTCGGTCACTAATGAAGATTTTTCCTTTTTTCTGTTCTTGGCCTCTAAGTACATAACTCATACTTTTTCTTTATGCCTTCCAATATTGTAGTTGCTAGCATGTTGATCATTTGAAAATTCATGACATTATGAATCTGAGTGACGTGCAGTAGAATTTTGTTGGGAACTTCAGACCGTTATTGGTTCACTGATGAAAACACAGTGAAAAGCCTGGTCGACAGAGTGTTTTGTAGAAACTGGGAGTATCGGCATCCATTTATCTTCGGTTTTTTACCGCCGTTAATCTGTAGTTTGGTGGTTACAGATTGACTTAAGGCTTTGGTTCATTAGCCTACGGTTCCAGTGAGTTTTTGAATAACATGATTTTTCTCCCTCTACAGATTTTGAACTGTTAATATTCTTAGGCAGAGGTAAGATGAATAAGAAATGAATATCGGCAGGTAAAATTATTAGGGCCTATTGTAAATGGGTAGTTGACTTATTTCCTCAAAAAAGAAAGAAAAAGGAAGAAAAGAAAAGGATACTATGACAAAGTGTTTGTTCGACTTACTCATCGACACTCAATTATCGTCCAAAATTACAATTATCCACCAACAGAGGGTGTGATCTGCAAAATATAAACATGTATTGCTTGGTTATTGTAATTACAAAAGGTACTGGGGCTTTTCGTGGATTGGCTAGAACTTGTCGACAACTATTTAGCAGAATTGAGAGTGATCCACAGCTTGTGATCAACAAGTTTTGGTTTTTATAACAATACCTATTTCCCACAAGATTTTTTTTATTTGTTTTCTAAAAAAAGTACCTTAATTAGATGGTAGCATTAGGCATGTGCATTTATGTCTGATTTTTAGTATCTTCAAATTTTACAACATAGCTTTAAATGCACAGCTGCTATTAGTAACTGTACAACACACCTCTAACACCCTTTGCGCTCAAGGAAAGTGAAATCCACTTTTTTTCTTATGGCTCCAGCTAATTGAAACCCCTTTGTGAATGTAAGGTTTTATTTATATTTTACACAAAATTCTTGTGTTAGGAAGCCTAACTGTTAGGCCCGTGCCGTACTTTTGTTTATGTTGTTTTCTAAAGTACGCTACTTGTGTATGATAACATGAATATGCTCGTTGAAAAAAATATTATGGTCATTATGTGAAAATTGTGAAGGACATATACATATTTGACTTTTCATGCATTAGTGTCCACTGATAATCTGCATGTTACTGCCATACCACCTTTCACATAGGCATACCCAATATACATAAATTCATCTACACACACACACACAGGGAGAGAGAAAGAGAGGTTAGTTGAGAGAGAGAGAGAGAGAGAGAGAGAGAGAGAGCGAGAGAGAGAGAGAGAGAGATGGCCGTGTCGCCTCTAGCAAAGTACAAGCTTGTTTTTTCTGGGGGATCAATCAGTGGGCAAAACAAGCATCATCACGCGCTTCATGTACGATAAATTTCTCCAATTACCAGGTTTTGCCTTTCTTCCTTTCACTCATTTATCAAGACATATACATTTACTTAACATCGTGAAAGTGTACATTGAATGATAATCTGCAAGCTTATACTCTGTGAATGGCGGCATGATTGCATATGCAAGAATTTTCTTTCAGAAATATATAGAATATCGATACCTAGCAAGCTCATAATCGATGATTTGGTCTTTCTGTTTTGAGTTGCTTTGATGAAATGGAAGAGAGTTTTTTTTTTTTTTT